AAGATCATCAGAATGAGGTTTGTTTAAATGTAAATCCAAATTCAAATTTTCTATTATTTAGAGAACTGTGCTTCTCCTTTACTACACAGATAACTGAGTTGACTGTATTTAGTTAGACCAAAGTTGTCACTTGCAAAATCAGACTGTGATAGAACCTTCATTCTCAAATCCATTGCTTCTTTTGGTATTAATTGAAATATTACAGTTATTTGAATATTATCTCCTATGCCAGAGCTAATTTATACCTTTTAAAAGCACCATGAAAATAAAGAACAAAGATAAATACTATATAAAAAGTTTAAAATAATCATACTTTTTTTTAATGACTCAAGATTTCTTTGTTTAGTCTGACAGGTATTAATTTCCTGAAGGTATCACACAGCAGCTTTGGAGAGGTGATCTGTTAATCTGTTTCTTTAGTGATAGTAATGGTAGGTGCTTTTTTTTGAATTATAAAAATCATGCACACATACATATATACGTATATCACTCCCTCTAGAGAGAATAGTTTGTTGTTTATCTTTCCAGCCTTTTTTCAAACATACAAATATACATTAATTGGTTGTACAAAAAAATGGGATACACACATACATAATCTTAGAATTTGCTGTTTTCTCTTAAGTATATATTATCTTTGGATATCTGTCCATGTTAGGAAATGCAGGTTACTTTTAAAAAAATCTTCTTTGGGTGAAGATATGCTCCTTTACAAGAAGGAATTTTTTTAAAAATTGTTTTTCTGTCTTCAGTATAGTAGTTACACAATGTTTGAATGAATTAATCAATAAAAGGGGCATCTTGATAGTGTCATTAATTTTCAGCATTTATGGGAAAGAAATTCTTTTCAGATGAAGATTTTTTTTTATTCTCAGATGAAGAACGCAATGACATATGGCTATAAAGAATGCCACATAGGATCCAATCTGTAATCTCTTGTGTTTTGAGTGATCGTGACTCCGGGGATCCTTTGTGATTGGGCATGGTCTTTCCTTGTGGTGCTCAGTCCACACTCACAAAGGCTCACACAAAGAATGGAGGAGTTATTGTAAGAATCTTTGTGGCCAAAACAGAAATGGAATCTTGTGGAAAGCTAATAACTGGGATTATATGGCACTGAACTTCAAGGAAATTGGAATTTCAGAGTTGTCCTAAAGTCAGCTTTAGGGACCTGTGGAAACTACTATTGTATTAACATAATCCAGCTATTCTCTTTTTGCCATTTTTTTCTTTTTTTAAACTTCCTTTTGGATTTTTTTTAAAGTGTATATATATATTTTTATTGACTTTATAGTCAGTTTACAATGTGTCAGTTTCTGGTATACAGCATAATGCTTCAGTCATACATGAACATACATATATTTGTTTTCATATTCTTTTTCACAATAAATTACTACAAGATATTGCATGTAGTTCCCTGTGCTATACAGTATGAACTTGTTGTTTATCTATGTTATATATATTAGTATCTGCAAATCTTGAACTCCCAATTTATCCCTTTCCACCTTCTCCCGCCCTTGGTAACCGTAAGTTTTTCTCTGTCTGTGAGTCTGTTTTGTTTGTCTTTTTATTTTAGATTCTACATATAAATGATATCATATGGTATTTTTCTTTCTCTTTCTGGCTTACTTCACTTAGAATGACAATCCCCAAGTCCATCCATGTTGCTGCAAATGGCAAAATTTTATTCTTTTTATGGCTGAATAGTATTCCATTGTATCAATATACCACAACTTCTTTATCTAGTCATCTGTTGATGGACATTTAGATTGCTTCCATGTCTTGGCTACTGTAAATAGTGCTGCTGTGAATATTGGGGTGCATGCATATTTTTGAATTAAGTTTCTCTGTGGATATATGCCTGGGGGTGGTATTGCTGGATCATATGTTTTTAGTCTTTTGAGGAATCTCCACACTGTTTTCCATAACAGCTGCACCAAACTACATTCCTACCAACAGTGTAGGAGGGTTCCCTTTTCTCCACATCCCCTCCAGCATTTATCGTTTGTGGACTTTTGAATGATGGCCATTCTGACTGATGTAAGGTGATATACCTCATTGTAGTTTTGATTTACATTTCTCTGATAATTAGCGATATTGAGCATTATTTCATGTGCCTATTGGCCATCCTTATGTCTTCACTGGAGAATTGCTTATTTGGGGCTTCTGCCCATTTTTGGATTGGGTTGTTTGTTTTTTTTCTTATTAAGTTATATAAGCTGTTTATATATTCTGGAAATTAAACCCTTGTCAGTCTCATCTTTTGCAAATATTTTCTCCCATTCTGTAGGTTGTCTTTTTGTTTTGCTTATGGTTTCTTTTGCTGTGCAAAAGCTTGTAAGTTTAATTAGGCCCTGTGTGTTTATTTTTGCTTTTATTTCTATTGCTTGGGTAGCCTGCCCTAAGGAGAACATTGTTGAGATGTATGTCAGATAATGTTTTGTCTCTGTTTTCTTCTAAGAGGTTTATAGTGTCTTGTCTTAGGTTTAAGTCTTTAAGCCATTTTGAGTTTATTTTTGTGTATGGTGTGAGGGGTATTCTGACGTCATTGATTTACATGTAGCTGTCCAGCTGTCCAAACACTGCTTGCTGAAGAGACTCTTTACTCCATTGTATGTTCTTGCCTCTTTTGTCAAAGATTAATTGACCAAAAGTTTGTGGGTTTATTTTGGGACTCTATTCTGTCCCATTGATCCATATTTCAGTTTCTGTACCAGTACCATGCTCTTTTGATTACTGTAGCTCTGTAGTAGTTTGAAGTCTGGGAGGGTTATTCCTCCAGCTTCATTCTTTTTCTCCAGTATTACTTTGGCAATTGTGGGTCTTTTGTGATTCCATATAAATTTTAGGATTATTTCTTCTAGTTCTGTGAAAAATGTCCTGGGTAGTTTGATAGGGATTGCATTAAATCTGTAGATTGCTTTGGATAGTATGGCTATTTTAACTGTCTTACTATTAAGCTTATTCTTAATTTTGACTTGCTCGTGGCTCCTCAGCTCTACCTCATGTTCTTCCTCTGCCAGTTCTTTCAATTCCCTCTGCCTATAGTCTAATTCTTTCTACATGTTTGGAAATATTTCCATATTTCTGCTTAGAGTCTGATTCTTTCCATATTTCTGAAACTATTTTTAAATTTCTACCTGCAATCGAATTCTTCCCTTAGTTCTAAATTTTTGAAAATGAAATTCTGACTCATCTTATCCTTGTTTGGCTAGAGCTTTTTGTGCCAGACCCTTTCATAGGCTGCCAGTAGCATATGGGATGGCTTCCTATGCTTCAGATGTCCACCCTTGTCCCAGTCAACTGTGAACTGGGATCAAAGGACAGAGTTAATGAGATAAAGAATGAATGTCTGAACCTGATCCCCCAGCAAGAGCAGAGTAGGCCAATCTCCCTAAGAATAGGCAGTGCATGTTGGCAGACACCATGATATATGTATTTATCAAGGGTGACAGTTAACCTGAAAATATTGCTAATTGGGAAAGCAGGGCTAATGTAAAATAAGCAAACAATTGTATACATGTTATATTTCTATAACAAATTTCTTGTTACAGAAACAGCATTTATTAATTACAAGAACATTTGAAAATACAGAGAACCAAAAAGAAGAAAAGAAAATATTTCCAGTCCCCACCAGCCACAATTTTCTGTTGTTTGTTTGTTAAATGCTCAGTGTGTAAGGAAGAACCAAAAGTACTATAGAAGTTCAGAAAACCAAGAGATAACTATGAGTATAAGAGAAGTGGGTGATAAACATGGAGCAGGAAGAATCTGAGCTAGGCCATGGTGTATACTGAGAATTTCAGCTACAGAGGACAGAGCATTCTCATAGGGGTGTAATAGAAAAGGACACATCAGAGAGAGGTCTGGGCCATAGATAAAACTTTGAGAAAGTTTAAGACTGGCAAAGTGTATGCCTACTATGGTCTATGCTTTAGAGAAACAAGCACTCTCCCCTATTGATAGGAATGTAAATTGGCAAAATCTTTTTGGTAGGGGAAGTTGGAAAGAAATATTAAAATTTAAAGTATGCTGACCCTTTGATCTAACAGTTTCATTTCTAGGAATTAATTACACAGATATATTCATGTAAGTATGCAAAGATAGATATACAGAGATTTTGTGTAAGATTGTAATTATTCTTTCCTTGAAAATTTAGAACATACTACTGTGGTCATCTGGGTCTGGAGTTTTATTTATTGGGAGTGTTTTGAGGATTCTTCAGTTTCTTTAATGGTTATAGGTCTGGTTAGATTATAAATGTTATTATTCTACAAATTTATCCAGGATTTTAAGTTTTTGGTGGGAAGCTTAATCTAGAAACCTGGCCTGTTGCATATTACAGCAACGATGAGTTAAAATCAATACAACTTTGAGTTCAAATTCACATTTTAAAAAATGCTTTTTTAGTTTTTAATACTGAATGGTAAGTACTGAGTGAAAAGGTTTCTTATTTATTACTAACATTATACACTTTATTTTCTAGCTACATCAACTACCACCACCACCACTAACACCACCACCACTACCACCACAACCACCAGTGGCTTTACCTTCAATCTAAAACCAGTGACATCATCTGGGATTAGTAACACTGTTCCAGTCGGTATTACTCCTGTACCTTTTACTTCGACTGTTGAGTAAGCCTGTTTATTTGAAAATTTGTTAGAGTTTCATTTATTTATCATATGCAGGTATAATTTGCTTGTATATCTTTAGAATAGTGTTTGAAAGTTAAGTAAATGACTCAGAGTCGAAGGCACAGTTAGAGAAAAGATTTCTGTTGTTTAGGATGTTGAACAACTAAAAGGATGTCTTTGTCTTCTGAATACCATTATAATACAACTATTACTATTGCTAATAATAGACAGTATTTACTGTGTAATTATTATATGTTTAGCAATATGACAGTGCATCATGTCATTTAGTGCTCACAATAACCTTATGAGGTAGGTACTATTTTTGTTCTCATTTTATTGATGAAGAAGCTGGAATACTTAGAGATTTTATAATCTGTCTTTGGTCACACACTTGGTAATGGTTGAGCCAGGATTAAAATTCAGATATTCGAGCTCTGGAGCCTGTATTCTTACAGTCTATGCCATGTTCCTCTCTAATTATTTGATTTTTTAGATAAAAGATAACTTCTGTAAATCACTCAGCATAAAGCTTAATGCAGAATATGAACTCAGAAAATATAAGCTTCAACCATACATTTTTTCTTTTTTTAATTGAAGTATAGTTGATTTATAATGTGTTAGTCTCTGGTGTACAGCATAGTGATTCAGTTATACACATACATACATATATATATATATATATATATCCTTTTTCATATTCTTTTTCATTATAGGCTATTACAAGCTATTAAATATAGTTCCCTATGCTATACAGTAGGACCTTGTTGTTTATCTGTTTTGTATATAGTAGTTTGTATCTGCTAATCCCAAACTGCTAATTTATATTTGTTTTCTTAATTAAGCTTTTTATTTTGAGATAATTGTAGATTCACATTTACTTCTAAGAAATAATACAGAAAACCCTGTGTGTCCTTAACCTAGTTTCCCCCAATAACAACATCTTGCGATACTATAGTACAATATCACATCCAGGATATTGACATTGATACAGTCAAGATATAGAACAGTTTCATCATACGAGGATCCTTCTTGGTGCCCTTTTACATCCACATTCACCACCCTCCTCTCCTTTGCCTGAACCTGGGCAACAATTACTGTGTTCTCCATTCCTATAAACTTGACATTTAAAGAAATGTTAAACAAATGGAGTCATACAGTATGTGATTTTGGGGACTGGTTTTTTTTTTTGCTGGATATAATTCCTTGAGATAAAGTTGTCACATACATTAATCCTTTTTCCTTTTTATTTATGATTAATATTTCATGGTATTGTGGATGCACCATCATTTGTTTAACCACTCACCTATTGATGGGCATCAAGGTTGTTTCTAGTTTTTAGCTATTATGAATAAAGCTGCTGTGAACATTTGTGTACAGGTGTTTGGTGAACATAAGTCTCATTTCTCTGGGATAAATGCCTAGGTATGCAATTGCTAGGTGGTATGGTAGTTGCAAGTTTATTTTTTTAGGAAACTGCCACATTCTTTTCCAGAGTGGCTGTGCCATTTTGCATGCTCAACAGCAATGTATGAGACATCCAGCTTGTCCACATTATTGCCAGGATTTGGTATTGTCACTAGTTTTTGTTTTATCCCTTCTCATAGGTGTGCAATGATATCTCATTGTGGTTTTAATTTGCATTTCCCTCATGACAAATGATGTTGAGCATCTTTTCATGTGTTTATCTGTCATCTGAGTAGTTCTGCTTTGTAAAGTGTCTGTTCATGTCTTTTGTCCATTTTCTACTTGAATCTGTTTTTTCTTCCTAAGCTTTGAGAGGTCTTGTATTCTACATACCAGCCCTTTGTCAGATATGTGGTTTATGAACATTTTCTCTAACTTGATAATTTGTCTTTTCACCTTTTAAATGGGGTATTTCACCAAATAAAACTTTTAATTGATAAAGTTAATTTATCAATTTTTCCTTTAATAAATTGTGCTTTTAGTGTCAATTTTAAGAACTCTTTGCCTAACCTTAGGCCTCAAAGATTTTCTCCTAATTTTTTTCTTAAAGTTTTATATTTTATGTTTTACATTTAAGGTTGTGGGCCATTTTGAGTTAATTTTTGTATAAGGTGTAAGTTTTAGATTGAGGTTTATTTTTTTTGTCTATGGATGTCCCATTTTTTCAGCATCATTTGTTGAAAGCCTACATTCCTCCATTGAATGGCTTTTGCACCTTTATCAAAAATTAACTGGACATATTGTGTCAAATGTTTTTTCTGCCTCAATTGATATAATCTTTTAAGATTTTCTTCTTTAGCTTCATGATATGATGAATTACATTGATTTATTTTCAAACGTTGAACCAGCCTTGCATATATGCAATAAATCCCACTTGGTCATGATGTACAATTTTTTATACATTTTTTGATTCAGTATGCTAGTATTTTGTTTGTGGGCTTTTGAATCTAAATTCATGAAAGATACTGGTCTATAGTTTTGTTTTCTTTCTTTTTTTAAAAAATTCTGTCTTTGCTTTTGATACCTGGATGATACTAGCCTTATAAGATGATCTTGGAAGTAGTTCCTTCTGTTTTATAGAAGAAATTTTATAAAATTTGTGTTAATTCATTAAATGCTTGGCAGAATTCTCTAGTGAAAACTCTGGACTGGATATTTCTTTTTAAGGAGATTTTAAATTATAAATCAATTTCTGTGATGGTTCTAGGACTATTCAAGTATTATGTTGGGAGAGTCTGGGTCCTATTTAAATCTGCTTTGTTTATCAGACAATCCTTTTGTTAAGGTATCGCACAAGAGTTAGGTGCATTTGTATGTTCAACTTCCCACTGGACCCTAACCACACCACCTCAGCAAAAGTGGAGCACTGACTTACATTGCCTCAATGCAGATGACTGATGTGGAAGTTCACTTTTTCCCTCTGCCCTGCTGACTCATTCCCCATGAAAGTGAGCATTGCATTACACCACTTCATTGCTTCTAGTGGGGATATAAGCTCGGTTCCCAGAAGTTCCCTAGAACAAAAGAAAGTGGGGGACTAACTCATATTTCTTAGTTGTTGCAGGGTAGAGAAAGTTTAGCTTCCTATTGGGCCCCACCGACACAGATGAGGGAGGAAGTAAGATGTCAACTACTCTACCTCATATCACTTCATTCAGCCTCATTGCTACTGGGTTGGTATAGAAGCTTAGCTCACTATTGGGTCCCACTAACACAGGCTCAAGGAGAAGGAGGACAGAGTGCTGACTCAACCTGCTTTGCCCTGCCTCAGTTAGTCTTGGTTTTTCCAGTGGGTGTGGAAGTTAAGTTCTCCACTGAGCCTTGCTGACACCAGGGGTGGTGGGAAGTGGAGTCCTAGCCCAAGTTGTATTACCTTGTTCAGTCTCAATGATGCCGGGTGGGTATATAGGTTCAGCTCTCCCTTGGCCACTGCTGACACTGAAGACAAGAGGTGAAGTCTAATAGCAACCAACCCTGTCTCATTCTGCCTTCTTAAGTCTTGTTGCTGCTGGGTAGGGACTTAGGTTCAGCTTATCGCTGGACCTCACCAACACTAACCTGGCAGGGGAATTGGAACACTGCCTGCCTCTGTTGGGCTAGGAATTGATGATTACCTCCCCACCCAGTCCTGCTGACACTGCCCCAGAAGAGGAATCAGAGCACTTCCTGGTTCTGCCAGTCCTGGGATAGAAAATAAGCTACCTTCTCAGCCTATTTGATACCACTTGGTTAGGGGCATCAGAGTTCCGCTCAGTTCTGCCCACTAGGGGATAGCAGATCAGCTGCCTACTCTGTTTCATGGATACTGCTTAGATAGGGAATGGATCACTTTGACTAAGAGCTCAGGGGAGAGGGAATCCTCTTTGGCCACACACTCACCCAGAGTGGAGCTTCCAACATGAGGGAGAAGGAAGGGAGCAGGTTGTGACACAGACTTTAGCTGTTCTTACTGAGATTTAGTAGATTTCTTAATAAATCTTTATTTGCTGTATTCCTTTAGGATAATTTCCAGAGACTGGTTGTTTTTAAAATAATCTTTACCAGTTATGGTGGTTTTGTTGGGGAGCAGGTCTGCGAAACTCCTCATGTGCTATTTTCTTCTTTAAGTCCTCCTGTGTTATGCTTTTAAAAAATATGATCATACTTTTGAAAGTATGACCATGTGATCATACTGTATCCTTTTTTTTAAGTGCAATTGTAACTCCGGTGATGACATATGGTCAGCTGGATGCTCTGCTAAACAACTGGAGCCTTGAGTTAGAGGATCAAGAGAAACACTTTCTTCACCAGGCCACTCAGATCAATGCTTGGGACCATATGTTGATTGAAAATGGTGAGAAGGTAAGAAGATATTCTCAGTAATCTACCTGTATTGTACAAGTATTTTCAGATGAACACAAGAGAATAGACTTGTGTGTTGTGGTTAATTTTCTCTTCCAGTATTGGTGATAAACTTAAAAACATTTTCCTTAGGTAATAAGTAACATGAATTAGGAACTCTTTCATATTTGAAATGTATATGAGAAAATAAATACTGCTTTAAAATTATAATATAAATTCAAAACTTACATTATTGTATTCTTATCTTCCTTTATAGATTACTGCTTTACATGGAGAAGTAGAAAAAGTGAAACTGAATCAGAAAAGGTAGAACTATAGATGCCCTAGATTGAAAGATTAAAAATCCATTTCTTTGTCTGGTTGTTTTTCCTTATAATAGTTTATTGACTGTAAACTATATTTTGTCACTCCAGATTCATTTCATCAGCCCTTCTATTGACTTGTTTTTTTCAGACTGGAACAAGAATTGGATTTTATCCTTTCACAGCAGAAGGAACTAGAAGATCTCTTGATCCCTTTAGAGGGATCTGTAAAGGGCGAAAGTGGGTCTGCTTATCCGCAGCATACAGATGAGGAGCATGAGAGGACGTAAGTAACTGAATAAAGATTGAGGAATGGGGCAGAATTTAGCTACTGAAAAAGGAGGAAGATGGAATTGAAAGGCAGGGAATAAAAACTGGTAGAAAAGCGCAAGTTCTGGTAGTTGCCATTCATCAGCTTACATGACTGTTTTCTGTTTATCTTTTCAGGATACTTGAAAATGAAGTAATCATTCTGGCAATTTTGTTTGATAGCATTTTGTACACTGTTGTTAATCTCAAGCGTATACAAGACCACTGTAAAGTTTTCATCTTTGTCAAGTTTGTTCTTAAATTAGAAATACAAATTTTATGTGTGTGTTGTCATGATATTGTGGAATATTTATGGTCTCCTATTTATATTGACTGTTTTAAACCTAATGTTCATGCAGTTGCTTCAGTGATAAATCCATTTGCTATTTTAAAGGCAATTTGTTAATCTAGGGGTAAACTGCATGGCTTTCAAAAATTGAATGATTTCATTAATGTCTTGGGCTGAGTATATTTTATTTGTGTGTTACTCAGTCTTTACCTTCAGTTGATACATTGCCAGTGTTCCCACAGTAACTTTATCTCTTTGGAATTGAGATTTGGTAATCAGGCGAAAAGATTAAATGTTAGGAGAACTTGAATGAATGTGCTGCATAAACTAGACTGAGACTAAATCTGACTCATTTTATCAATGGCTTATTAGTGCATCAAGACTAAGCTTATTTTTAAAAGGCTGGCAAGTTAATTTTTTTGTAGGTGCATTAAATGTAGTAAGTACAGCTAATCTATACAGACCCTAGTTCTGTTTCTGCTTTTATATTTCAGCCTTTTTGATTCTTTTTTTTTCTTTGCATTGCTTATTCTATTCATTCTATCATTTTTTGGAAACACAGAGTTTTCGGCCATGAGATCCTAACTGTAGTTTGAAGAAATAATTGAAACATTAGTTCCTTTCCAATTGCTTTTAGGTAATCAGATTTATATTGTCTTGGAATCTTTACTAGAATTTTCGACAATCTAGGCAACCAATTACCTATAGGTACTTTGGGACAGAAAGGCAGTAGATAGTTATCGATAAACCTAATTGAATTGTTTAATCTTTATAGACATTATGATTGAAAAACTCTGGTCACTTTAATTCTCTTAATCATATTCATTGACTCGGTTAAGAGAGGGAAAGTGTGTGTGAATAGTTTGGTGGAAATCTTGACAATTTAACCAACTAATGAATTTGTTGTGAACTTAGCAGATTTATCTGTCTTTGATTATTGTGAATCTTATTTCTCAAAATGTCTTTTGTTGAATGATAAAATATATTTATCTAAGGTTTTACTCTGAAAATTTATGTATTCAAAATTATTGAAGAGATCCCAACATTTATTGAATATTGCTAAACACCAAATAACTTCTCATATATCTAAGTAACCTATGGACTTAATTTGGATACCTGAAAAGAGTTTCTTTGCTTAAGAGCTTCCCAGAAAGTTATCCAAAGGACAACTAGGTGACTGTAAAAATGGCGAGGTGGACAAAAGCCTTCACCTATGGAGTCTTATTAGAATATGGTAATAATCAGGTTGTGAATGCTACATCCATAAAAATGTACTGTTAGTCATAACTGAGACCCACTGAGAAGATAAGAGAATTGGGGCAAATCCAGTTGACAGTATCATTCTTTGTATGTCAGTAACAATACATAGTGGAGGGAACATTTCTTGGTAATCCCTTCATTTTACCTGCCTTTTCAGTTACAATGTAGCAGAAAATATAGATGCTCAGCTGAAACAAATGGCCCAAGATTTCAAGGACATTATTGAGCACCTGAATACATTTGGAAGTCCTGCTGACCCTACTGACCCGGTGTGTAAACTGCTTTTTATCTATTTAGACAATCAAAATTTAGTAGGAAATTAGTATTCTGTGGTTCCTTTAGCTTATCACCTTTTCCTGTCCTCTATAGTGCTCCTTACCAGTCTCCAGAGATAGGAAGCTTTTGGGTGTAGTTAGTGGGGCAGGAAATATTTAGGAGCAGAAAAGGTTGTGAGTTTTTTTGTGATTATCCCCAAGTGGAAAAGACAAATTACTTTTCTCCCAATTTTCAGGGTTTTCTCTCTGTTCTTCCCGTAAGTATGTCCCTGTTCTGATTTGTCCACTTACTCATTAGCTACTTTGTTCTTCCTTTTACATATTAATCTACATATTCATATAATTGTGTGTGTTTATATATGTGTGTGTATATATATATGTTTGAATCTGTTAGGTATATCTAGGCAATCCTTAATTTATGATTAGGTTGTATCTTAAAAGTTTGATAAGTCAACTACTTGAGACTTAAAATATATTTTTCCATTGAAAGTTTGTTAAATATGGTTATTAGGTTTCCACCTGCCTTATTAGAGAGCTGAGATGTTTTGAATTAATTTGGTGGTGAGAAAGGATTGTTTTTCTTTTCCTTTATCTATACTCTAATTAGAGGGCTTATTTCCTCTACTTTTCCTTATTACCTTAGCAGCCAAATGGAGTCCTCCTTTTCCCCACTCCTACCCCATGGCAGTAATGGTAAGAGGAATCTCCCATTGTGGGAGCTCCCATTGTATTTTGTGTCAGTTGATTATAATTAGGAGTGGGGCCAGGATCTGGGTAGGCAGGGATGAATGACATACATGATTATTCTTTAGTAATCTCTTCGTCCAACTATATATGGGCAGTTCTTTATCTACATATGTATTACTAGCTATTTTAACTATATATGGGCAGTTCTTTATCTACATATGTATTACTAGCTATTTTAATTATAGAGAGAGCATGGTATAGTTGAGAAAATATTAGAGTTTTATTTAAGTCACTTAATCTCTGGGACTTGGCTCCTTCTTTTGCAGAATGTCAAGGGTGGGTGAACTAAATGACCTTGAAATCCACTTCAGCTATTAAAATTATGCCATTGTCTACTTTGGGAGAATCTAAAGTTGAACAAAGACAAATATAAATTAGTCTGGGATTATACATGCTCCCATCTTCCTGTGTTCACACAGATGTTCAAGAGTTAACAATATAGATTTTCTTTTTAATGAAATATTAGATCACTACTGTGATTCCAAAATTTAAAATTGTTTTGTTGTCCTAGAATTTTGATGCATAGATAAATGCATGCAGATTTAGACATGAAACAGAGCTGACGCCTAGTCTCTGTGTTAATATAAGAGAAGTGTTCTGAGCAGAGTAAGTAAAAGGAGACTATAATCCTATCCTTATCCTTTTTCTCTACTTAGCCTTGGATTGTTTTGTTTTAATAGTGGGGAGCAAATGATTTGAGTCTTTTTTTTTTCATTTTTCTTGGCAAGGGTGATTGAGATGTTTAAGATGAGTGAATTAAAGGATAATTGCTTCTTGATAGCAGAACAAAAGAAGCAAGAGATCAGCAACAATTCATTTCTTTTCTCAGAGAGCATAAATCATTGGACAGGAAGCAGAGAAAACATTTGCCGAACAATAATATTCTTGTAGATAATTAATTAATTGTTATTGTGGGTCATACACCAGGGTAGAAAAATAGCCAGTGTGTTCAGCAGTATTCATGATGCTAGGATTTACCTGTTTATTTGTACCATTTTTGAAGGGAGATAGGAAAGACCACCTAATATCTGAAGTTTATATTAAGCAAGTCCGTATTATAGTGTATGATATTCAGGCACATATTTTTACAAAAATTCATTGTTACTACTACAAATTATATTTCTAGTTGTTATATTAGAATACACTAAATTAGCTGTCTTATTGCAATCTATTCTTTTAAGTGTGGTAACGTTTTCATTTCTTCTTATTTTTAATATCCTGGACTTTGCTAGAATATTTGTCAAAAGTGTTCTAAAACTTTTTAAAGGTTTAGTATTTTTTAATATAAAGTTAATACACATCCTTATTCAATGTGTCCAATTTGGAGAATATGGAAATATGTAAAGAAAATTAATTCACCTGGGTTACCAGTACTCTGCTATTATTAGTATTATTATTATATTAATGTATTTCTTTCAAGTCTTTTTGCAATACTGGTAAAAATGTTTATTTTCTTTTAAATGGCATTGAAACATACCTATATAAAGTTTTTGAGGCTGCCTTCACTTAATATTCTTTCATGGTATTTTTCCAAGTGTTAACCATTCTTTGAAAATACAGTTTTAATGACTCTAGTATTTCATTAGAGGTGACTTTACCATAATATATTTAATAATTTTTTATTGATGAAGATATTGTTTCCAATTTTTTACCATTATAAAGTTAACCTGTAATGACTAGTTATGTTTAGATTTCATTCTTTCATCTGGATAGATTTCTAGAAGTAGAATATACTGAGTTAAAAGGTATGAATATTTTAAGACTTTGGTATATACTGCAAAAATTTCCATTTTGAAGGGCTGGGCCAAATTATATTACCATAGGCTATATATAAATGTACCTGTTTTCCTGACACACTTGACAACTGAGTATTACCATTTATTAAAATTGCTGATTTGGAAATCTTGCCATTTGTGCAACATGGATGGGCCTTGAGGGCATTATGCGAAGTAAAATAAATTAGACAGAGAAAGACAAAATTGTATAATCTAACTAATATACGGAATTTATAAACAGAAACAAAAACTAAACCAAGCTCATAGATACACAGACCAGATTGGTGATTGCCAGAGGTAGGAGGTGGGCAAAATGGCTGAAGAGGGTCAAGGTACAAACTTCTAGTTATAAAATAAATATGGCATGATGGCTATAATTAATAATACTTTGTTGCATATTTGAAAGTTGCTAAGAGAATAGATTATAAAAGTCCTCATCTCAAGAGAAGGATTTTTTTGGTAACTGTATGGTAGGTGGATGTTAACTAGACTTAATGTGGTGATCATTTGACAACATATACAAATACCAAATCACTGTGTTATACATTTGAAACTATGTTATATATGTCTATTATATCTCAGTCAAAAAAACCATTGATTTGATTGTCAAAAGGTAAAATTTTTAAATTTTATATGAATTTCTCATCTCATCAAATGTCTCTTAATGTTCTTTACTTATTTTTGTACTATAGAAGCCGGTTTTTTATTGAATTGTAGGAATCGAATTATTGACAGTTACAAAATAATTAGAATGAACTAAATAATATATACATGTAATGAGCATTACAAATATGAAATAGCAAAAAAACCCCGCACAATTAATATTTAGCACATTCTCAGTTCATTTCTTACCAGAATAAATGAAAACAACTCTTTAATTTCAGGTTTTTAGTTTTATTTTTTGTTTACCATATCAGAATAATCATAATTTAACATTTTTATCTTGTGTGTTTTTAGCTCCAGCAGATCTGCAAAATTCTGAATGTTCAAGTGGACTCTCTGCAGTGGATTAATCAGACTTCAGGTGGGAGTTAATTTGTACACATAATTTTCTGTATTGTAAGTAGAAAATGTGATACAAGTCAGGTTTTGTGCACCATGACCATACTCAAATAAGAGCTCAATTGTAGGGGTGTTTTTTAACTTATGGTATGTCTGTATTAATTCTGACAAACTGTAATTGCTTGTTTTTATAAAAGGAAACACAGGAAGGATAAACTAGAAACTAATCAAAATAGGGGATGTATAGGAATAGGGTGGAGGAAATAGGGATAGAAATAGGACTTTTCTGAGTATACCTTTTTACACAGTTTTGACTTTGGACCATATAAGTGTCTAAATTCTCAAAAATAAAGGGAAGGAAGACAAATGCTAAAACTGAATACAAGTTGAAACCAAAGATACCTGTGTAACTAATTTATAACATAATCATGCAATTCATGATGGTGCATCCTTACTAGGTTGTAATCTTAATGATAAAAAGAACTACAAAGAAATCATAAGCTTTCTTAATAAGTTTATTGTTAGTTTCAGAATTACAATATGCTGTATATTATATATACACGGAATAATAATATTACTACCATTATATATATATATATAGTACAAAGCAAATGCACAAGTATATTAGTGATAATAGAAACCAAGATTTTCATTGAAAGATAAGAGAAGATATTTTTCTTTCCTTCCATTATATTTATATTATAAATATGAATTGTAAATATCAGTATAAATTCCTGTTTCCCTTGTTCTGTACGTGGAAAGGGCCAAGAAGCAATGACACACACCCTGATAGAAGTGAGCACATCTAACACCTGATCTTGGTTTCTAAATACCACTCCCACTAAAAGGAACCAAGGCTTCTTGGAGGCCTTCTGGTCTCAGGGCTCAGGCAGGGAGAGTACAGGGTGAGTTTGGCACTTTTTGTGCCAGAAAACTAAGATTGTTTGAAGACTAATGAGATTATATCAAGATACAAGATTGTGCTTTAATGGGCTTCTAGTGGCCAAATTAGGTTTCAACATCAAAAAGAATAATGACAGTGGTGGATTATAATACAGTGAGGGAGAAAAAACTCATGTGTTTGCAGTGATACTCCAGAGAGAGAGAGAGATGGGAGGTGCTGGGAAAAGTCTTTATAGAAGCAGGCCAGCTAATAATTGTAGAAGGAATGATAGAATTAGAGAACCACCATTAAAAAACATTTTCAACAGAACATTTTTTTAAGCTTACCTGATCTTGAATACCTTGCCTCGTTTATAAAATATTTCAACTGTCAGTTATCTCTTGGCAGAAAAAATATTCTAGCAGAAAATGGACCAAATATAGACTGCAAGTTACTGAGCTATTTTTTAAAGTTTTATTTAGGTATAATTTATATCACATAGATTTCACTAATTTTAATTGTACAATTTAATGACAAAGTCATCATTTTGAAGCCCCAGCTTAATGATTGATTCAGGCAAGGGTCATCAAGGAATGCTAAAACCATGGAGTCTAAGATTGTTGAGGAACAGGATATTTACATTGTCTCAAAAATATTACTCCACAGATTACTTAAAAATTACAAAGGAGAAAATGTGCGTAAATTTACAACAGAGCTATCTGACAAGTACCACTTTAATCAAGTAATCAAATTTAATATCACCAATAGTGGGATTACTTGACACTGTGTGCCTCTTGATCTGACATAAGAAGAAGTGCACAATATCCCTTATGTATGTATTCTTATGAAAAATGTTTAACCTGAATCTAATAAGAAAATAAGCAGAAATTCTACATGTGAGACATTTTGAAAGATAATGTTGTAGTATTCTTACCAGAAATGTTTAACTGAATCAAATCACAAGAAAATAATCAGACAGTCTATGTGTTAGACATTCTGAAAGATAATTGGCTTGGACTCTTGAAAAAGTCAGTCATGGGAAACAAAAAATTTAAAACAAAAAGATTAAGGAGATTGTCAAAGAAGAAAGGAAACATAATAATCAAGTCTACCATGTTAACTTTGATTAGATACTCAATCAAAATAAAGAAGACATTATTTAGAACAATTGGGGAAATTGAATATGGGCTATACATTAAATATTAAGGAATTTTTTTATTTTCCTATGTGTGTTGTAGTTACATAGGAAAATATTTTTATCCTTAGAAGCTGCATGCTATAATATTTAGGGAAGTGTCATGTCTGTAGTTTTATTTCAACTGATTCAACCAAAACCATTTGTGAAGAGAAAAAAATTGGAGCAATTTGTGGCAAAATGGTAATAGTGGGTTAACTAGGAAAGGGGTATACAAGTTTGTGGTTTTTACTATTCTCTCATCTTTTCTATTGATTTAAAATAAAAATTGGTGGGAAGTAATTTTTACAGACTTTTGCCTAAATATAGAGTATAATGAGACCTCAGTAACTAAGACAAATGGGGGCTGGTAGCCAGAGTTACTGTTTTTAATGATGTACTATGAAAATAATATAAATCTGGTTATTTGGCTTTATAGATTTTGCATTCTCTACATTAATAGAGGTCATCAACCATCAATTCTTCTGCTTCTCCCTTCCAAACATGTCTATATCATCATCATCCATCTTTACTTCCTTCTCTCCTGTGTTAGAAGAAAGAGATGTCCTATTCCTTTCTAATCTGTGTTTTGAATCATCATAGGGAAATTAATCCTTTGCTGCTTTAGTACTAATTATGTGATGGAGAGAGAGTTCTGAGTCAGATAGAATGGATTCAAGTCAAGGTATTATCACTTAATAGTTGTGTGACCTTAATTGTTACTTAATCTCTCAGTCTGTATCCTCATTTTAAAAATGAGGAATAATACTTACCTTTTAGGGCTTCTGTAAAGATTAAAAGAAGCAACGTTATACTTTTCCTTGAGCAGTGCCTGGCCTGTGATTGGTGGTCAGTAAATCATAGCAGCAGAACTGGTTGTCAGAGTTTACTGTATATAGGAGCTGAGGTGGGGAGAATTGACAAGAAAGGTCATGTGGTACAAATGGTAGCCATTAAATTCGGTCTAGAGAAGGCAGTTCCAGGTAGATTATCATTGAAAACCACTTACTTAGAGAAGTTGTAAGAACAGCTGAGATGTGAGAGAATGAACATCAGTGGCTGGAAGACACTGAGGAATGAGTTTATACAAAGTTTGACTCAGTTGTCTTACTGTCTGTTGCATATTTTCCTACAATGAGCAATGCTTCTTCTGTGGAGTTGGGGGGATGTCAAAATGTAATTAAGTAAAGAAAGATTATAGTGAATTTTTTTTCTCTTGGCTGGGATCCTCTTTGTCATAAGTGAAAACTCAAGGCTCTCAGCCAGTGTTTTCCTACTAATAAATTAAGGTTGTTAGTGCTACAAAGAACTTACTTTATGCTATAAATGAAGAAACTGTGGTTCAGACAGGTTAAATGACTTCCCTAAGAATACACAGTTCATTAGTGGCAGAGTTAGGACCAGAATCCAAATTTCCTGATTACCAGAACAGTATTCTTTCTACTGGTGTGCTCTTAAAACAATTATAATGTAGACATCACTCGATATAAAAACAAATCTTAATCATGTACCTAACAGTAGAGGACATGGATTGTCAGAGTATAATAATGGTAGTACTTGGGTAGAATGTAAGTTCTAGGTGCCTAGGTCAAGTTCTCAGTCAACACAGGATAAAAAAGAGTGAGACAATGGAGAGTAATTATTACTGGGAGTTACTTTTCTGCTAAAAACTCAGTTGAGCATAAGAGGCAATGAGAACTCATATAGGTTCTCAAATGAGACAAGAGAGGCCGTGATAATGGAAAGAAACCCTGGTCATTCTTGATACTGTGGGCTCCTTTTTGCTGTTCTCACCCAAGGAACCTTTTCCTTTTCCTATCAGAAAATGACATGATCAAGTAATGGAGAATGGCAGGATTTAATTATCCTGAGAGGTTTTTTGTTATTGTTGGTTTATTTTGCTTTTTAATAGTTAATGGGATCGTGTCTGCTGAAATGGTCTGACTGAGAAGTTTTAAGGTTAAACTTCTCAATAAGTCTAGTTATTTACTCCCAAATAATAGTGAGAGAAAAACCAATAATGCATGTGCTATTTTAACAATAGAAATAATGTAATTTTTTTACTAAAGGAAATACGTAACTAAGGTTTTTTTAAAAAATGATTTTAAGTAGGGGAGGATATAGCTCAAGTGGTAGAGCACATGCTTAGCATACCAAGGTCCTGGATTCAATCCCCAGTACCTCCTCTGAAAATAAATAAGTAAACCTAATTATCTCCCCCCCAAAATACATACATTTTTTAAAAATAAAAAAATGATTTTAAAGTCAAAATCTATTTTAAAGGGGTTCTGGGAAATATTTTTATGATTTGATATCTTTAATGACAGTACAATTTTTTCTGCCATAAAACATAATTAATGCTAATAGGATCATATATTTAACTTAAAAATCAGCTTATCTTTAAATGTGACTTGAAAATCATATATTACTCTTTAAATATGTTAAAATATTACACTATCCAATTAACTTTTTAATATCCATGAGTAAATAGAGAACCAGGCCCCTTTCTTCCTCTAACCTACATAGAACTGACTGTGATGGAACCAAGCTAGAAAGGATCAGAGATAAGTTTAAGAGTATTGAATGAGGAGGTGTCTGAACTGGTGTTGCCCAGTGTTCAAATTTGATATTTATCCATTGTTTAATATTATATATGCCTCTTTTCCTCATGATTAGTATAAATAATTGAGAGTTAATAGTAACTATGATCAAATACCAGTTTCCTCTCTTGTCTTTTCCTTTGTACAAATTTACAGCATTATTTCGAGGTTGGCTTCATGGCAATGCTGCAGTCACACATCTGTCTTCTCAGTTGGCAGTCACGGAAACTGCAGCAACTCCAGCTCTGCTGGGACCACTTATGACAGAGTTGGCAATCAATCTGAACCAATTTATTATTCATTTTAAATATATGGAACTAATTCTTTTAGGAGAGGGAGGTAGGGGAGAAGGATAGGCGTTTTTT